CACCAGAGGGTTTGGTGTGCACAGTCTCAAGAGCATGGAGGATATTCCAAGAGACAGGCAGTTACTCTAGGAGAGCTGGACAGGCCATAGAAGGTCCTTAACCCATCAGCAGGACTGGTATCTTCTCCTTTGTGCAAGAGGTACAGGATGAGCACTGCCAGGGCCCTACAAAATTCCAGCACTGGTGTGAATGTCTCTGACCAAACAAGCAGAAACAGACTTCATGAGGGTGGCCTGAGGGCCCAACATCCTCTAGTGGGCCCTGTGCTCACTGCCCAGCACCACAGAGTTTGATTGGCATTTGCCATTGAACACCAGAATTGGCAGGTCCTCCACTGGCACCTTGTGCTTTTCAAAGATGAGAGCAGGTTCACCCTGAGCACATGACAGACATGAAAGGGGCTGGAGAAGCCATAGAGAACAATATGCTGCCTGTAACATCGTTCAGCATGACCATTTTGGTCAGTGATGGTCTGGGAAGGAATATCCATGGAGGGATGCACAGACATCTACAGGCTAGACCAGGGGTGGGCAAACTTTTTGACTTGAGGGCCGCAATGGGTTCATATATTGGACCCGGGGGCCGGACCAAGAGTAGATGAATGATGTGTATGTGTCATCCATAGTAAGTATAGTAATATTCCCCCATAGTAAGCATAGTAATTAATCCCCCATAGTAATTCATCCCCCATAGTAATTAATCCCTCATATAGTAATTCATCCCCCATAGTAATTCATCCCCCATAGTAATTCATCCCCCCATATAGTAATTCATCCCCCATAGTAATTCATCCCCCATAGTAATTCATCCCCCATAGTAATTAATCCCCCATATAGTAATTCATCCCCCATAGTAAATCATCCCCCATAGTAATTCATCCTCCATAGTAATTAATCCCCCATATAGTAATTCATCCCCCATAGTAATTCATCCCCCATAGTAATTCGTCCCCCATAGTAATTAACCTCTTGCCGACCGCGCATAGCCGAATGACGGCTTCACCGCGGCCGGCCAGTTCTGGGTGGACGTCATATGACGTCCTCCCAGAACGCGCTCTCCTGCGCGCCCCAGGGGGCGCGCACCCGGCGATCTCCATGATCGCTGTGTCCTACGGACACAGCGATCACGTGATGTGGTAAAAGGCCAATCACAGCGGCCTTTTACCACGTGATCAGCGGTGTCCAATGACACGCTGATCACAGGGAAATGCAAGTGCCGGTTCTCGGCTGCACTTTCCTCACGCTGTCAGATCGTGAGGAAAGTACTGCCGAGAACCGGCAGTTGTTAGAGCGGGGATCGGCACCGATCATCAGGGCACTGATGATCAGTGCCCTGATGATCGGTGCCCAGCAGTGACACCCGCAAGTTCCGCCCAGCAGTGCGCCCACTAGCTCCGCCCACCCATGCCCAGCAGTGCACCCACCTGTGCCCAGCAGTGCACCCACCTGTGCCACTCTGCAGTGCCACCTACCTGTGCCCAGAGTGCCACCTACATGTGCCCAGCAGCGCCACCCACCTGTGCCACCCACCTGTGCCCACCAGTGCCACCCACCTGTGCCCACCCACCAGTGCTGCCCACCAGTGCCACCCACCAGTGCAGCCCAGCAGTGCTGCCAGTCAGTGCCACCACAGTCAGTGCCCAGGGGTTGTGCCAGTCAGTGCCACCAGTCAGTGCCCAGCAGTGATGCCAGTCAGTGCCGTCTATCAGTACCCATAATCAGTGTCACCTATCAGTGCCACCTATCAGTGCTGCATATCAGTGCCGCCTATCCGTGACCCCTAATTAGTGCTGTCTATCAGTGCCGCCTATCCGTGCCACCTCATTAGTACTGCCTATCAGTGCCCTTTAGTGCTGCCTATCAGTGCCCATCAGTGCCGCCTATCAGTGCCCATCAGTGCTGCCTCATCAACGCACATCAGTGAAGGAAAAAAAATACCTGTTTGAAAAATGTTATAAAAGAAACAAATAAACTTTTTTTTTTTTCAATTTTTTTGCAGTTTTTTTATTTATAGCGCAAAAAGTAAAGTGCCCCAGTGGCGATTAAATACCACCAAAAGAAAGCTCTATTTTTGAGAAAAAAAATGATCAAAATTTCATATGGGTACAATGTTGCATGACCGCGCAATTGTCAATCAAAGTGCGGCAGCGCTGAAAGCTGAAAATTGGCCTTGTAAGGAAGGGGGTATAAGTGCCTGGTAGGCAAGTGGTTAATCCCCCATATAGTTAATTCATCCCCCCTATAGTAGTAAGCCAAGTCCCCCCTGTGTCAATTCACTTACCTTTGCACAGCGCGTTCCTCTTTGCCGTGTTCCTGCGCCGTTCCGGTCTTCAGGACGGACTGTGAGAGGAGCCTAGCTCTACTCACGTTTGTCACGCTGCCCCGCCCTACACACACATCCTGACAGCCATCCTGACAGTATCACGCTCCACGGGCCGGATTAAAAAGGTACGCCGGGCCGTATACGGCCCGGGGCCGTAGTTTGCCCATTGCTGGGCTAGACAATGGCACCCTGACTGCCATTAGATATCAAGATGAAATCCTTGGACCCATTGTCAGACCCTACTTTGGTGCAGTGGGCCCTGGATTCCTCCTAGTGTATGATAATGCCTGTCCTCATGTTGCGAGAGAATATGCAGGCAGTTCCTGGAGGATGAAGGAACTGATACTATTGAATGGCCCCCATGCTCACCTGACCTAAATTCAATAGAACACCTCTGGGATATCATGTTTCAGTCCATCTGATGCCACCAGGTTGCACCTCAGACTGTCCAGGAGCTCAGTGATGCCCTGGTCCACATCTGGGAGGAAATACCCCAGGACACCAGTCGTCGTCTCTTTAGGAGCATGCCTTGATGTTGTCAGGCATTTATACAAGCACGTGGGGGCCATACAAACTAATGAGTACCATTTTGAGTTGCTGCAATTAAATTTCATCAAAATGGACTAGCCTGCTGCATCATTTTTTCATTTTGATTTTCAGGGTGTCTTTGAATTTAGTCATCTGTAGGTTGATAATTTTCATTTCCATCAAATGAAGGGGCATCCTTACATTTCTAACACATTACCCAGTACATATCAGTATAGATATCCAGCATGATATTTTTTCCTATTGAGATCTGATGTTTTTTTCAAAGTGTTCCTTAAAGTTAATTTTTTCCAGCCATTGAAAGAACAAAGAAGAGACCTTCAATCTCATTTAATCAATAAAGGTACATTCCCATATGCTGGCATTGGAACTCAGAGCAAATTCTAACTAAAGACTGTTGGTGTATATTAGATGGAGGCCAGGGGCAGAAATAAAAATGAATAAATCCTGGAGAAGAGAAAATAATACTTAACATAGTTTCACCAGCCAGAGCATTACAGCCCCATGTGAACTCAAATAGCAGCAAAAATAGACCTACCCATAATTCCACCCTCCATATGTTCCCCACACACTCCACCAAACACGTGATCACTATCAACCAATACAAAGCCACAATTGAAAGTTCAAATTGCTGGCTGAAATATAAATGTGGCAAACCAACAAAAACCCTCTCTCCCCTAATTAAGAACCCACTATCAGTTGGGCTAATGTCTTACAAGAATTAAAGAAAATTTGACAAGTTCAGTCATTTTAAAATGAATGCCTCTAAATCTAAGATACTAGATATTTCTATTTCTTAATTGCAATGGGCCCAACTAAAAGGGAGTTTCCTTTTAAAATAACAAATAATTGTATCACTTTCTTAGGGATCCATTTTCCCTCTGACCTCTCAGTTTCTTTACCACCCTAATTGCCTCAGACTGTTGTCTGAAATTCCCTGTGATCCATCCCTGGTGGAAATTCAGAAACATCTCTTTGTTCGGATGCATCAATACATTAAAAATGGACATCCTTACTCATTTCTCTATATATTCAATGTGATTCCAATTACCCCTCATCTTCATCTGTAGGTCTTGATTAAAATGGCTGTTCTTGTAAAACCCAAAATAGTGGGTGGTTTAGATCTACCTGACCTTGAACTATAACATAAAGCAGCCTTTCTCAACCTTTTCATTGCAGAGGAAACCCTTGACATAACTTTCTGGTCTCAGGGAACCCTGCTAAAAATGATTACAGTATATCTACAATTCATGATACATTAGTGTGATAGGAGAGGTAAGAATGCTCCTTACACTTGTGATCATTGGGAAGAATTACCCCCTTACAGATTGCTAAAAAAGATCAATGGTGTAAGTGGGAACTTACATGAGAGGTGAAAATTGTTGATTGCTCAAGGAACCCCTAGCAACCTCTGGAGGAATCCTAGGGTTCCACGGAACCCTGGCATAAAAGTATCCTTATTAAACAAACTCTTGGACTGCTTTTTCCATAAGTCAAATAAATGTGTGGTCCAGCTGGAATCACTTCCCTGTATACTCCCTTTAAAAAGACCTTATTTTTCTTTTTTTCCCTTTCCTGGTCCAGATTTCTTTCTTTTTGGGACAGATTTATCATAACCTATACATTCTCTCATTATATGAGTCCTTTGGCCCCCATATTTGACAACCCTTCTTTTGGAGCAGGCTGCAAGATAGTCTTTATCTCGATAGTATTGGCCCCAATTGTGACACTTCCATCCTGACTATACTGTGGCTAGAGTTCTGACTTCCTTCCCCTCAGTCCCTCTACCTGGTTATTCCTGACTTAAATCACAGGGCTTTCTTCATGGACGTAGTTAGAACTGATCTCCAGTTAGTCTCTGACTGCACTCCCTTGGAAATATTCTTTTCTCATCCCTCACCCTGACTAGAGATGAGCGAAATTATTCAAAAATTCGATTCGGCTGATTGGCCGAATTCGCGGAATAAAATTTGATTTGAGGCGAATATATTCGCTGCAAATTTAACTAATAAAAAACAAAAAGGGTTTGTTTCTAGGCTTCAGAGAGCCTTTATATTTAGTGCAGAACACTGTACCTTTAATTTAAATGCCCTTGGAGTCTGCTGGGAAGAAGAGAACTAATACTGTCAGTCAGTATGACATGGCAGATGAGTGCGTCGATCTTAGAATCACCGGCACACTTCACTCATTTGGGCAGTCACGGGAGCCAAAACCAGAGTGTGGAGCCACAGTTGTGGCGGTTGGACAGGTGGGCAGCTAGCAATGGGAGGCCATACAGCACCTATGACAAAATGGAACCCACCAGCAGTGTGAGGAGACTCTGAAAGTGGCACATGGCGAGTGTGGCGATGGTGGGGAGGACAGCAGCAATGGGAGGCCGGTACAGGGGACCCATGACACACTCTGGACCTCTGGCGAGCAGCATGAGGAGGCGGTACAGGGGCCATGACAGGATTCCAGGGCCCCTGGCAGCAGCAGTGGTAGCGGGCGGTGGATGCAGCAGTATTCGGAAGCCAAACACAGGCCTCGGTTAAAAAGCGGATAGCCATCAGCAGCGTGAGCAGACGACAGAGGCACATGGCGCCAGGGTGGCGGTGGAGGCTGCAGTATTCGGAAGCATACACAGGCCTAGGTTAAAAAGCGGAAGCCGTTGTCAGCAGCGTGAGCAGACGACAGAGACACATGGCGCAGGGTTGGCGGTGAATGCCATGCAGTATTCGGAAAGCCAAACACAGGCCTCGGTTAAAAAGCGGAAGCCAATCAGCTGCGTGATGCAGACGCCAGAGGCACGTGCGCGCTGGGTGAGCGGTGGTAGGCAGCAGCAATGGAAGTACCATTACAGCACCCTATCACAAAATGTGATACACCACAACCAGTGTTAAGGGAGGACCTGACTAGAGTGGCACATGGCGCAGGGTGGCGGTGGAGGCAGCATGTATTCGGAATAGACATACACAAGGACTAGTTTAAAAAGCGGAAAGCAGTCGAGCAGTGTGAGAAGAAGGACAGAGGTACATGGCGCAGGGTGGCGGTGGAGGGCAGCCCAGTATTCGGAAGCCATACACAGGCCTAGTTTAAAAAGCGGTAGCCGTCAAGACAGCAGTGTGAGCAGACGACAGAGGACACATGCGCAGGGTCAGGGTGGGTCGGTGGATGCAGCAGTATTTCGGAAGCCAAACCACAGGCCTCGGTTAAAAAGCGGAAGCGTCACGTACAGCTGGTGAGCAGGCGACAGGAGGCACATGGCGCAGGGTGGTGGTGGAGGCAGGGCAGTTATTCGCGAAGCCATACACAGGCCTAGGTAAAAGAACGGAAGCCGTCAGCAGCTTCGGTGAGCAGACGACAGAGGACACATTGGCGCAGTTGGGTGGCGGTGTTGGAGTGCAGCAGTAGTTCTGGAAGCCAAAACACAGGGCCTCGGTTTTTTTTAAAAAGCGGAAGCCGTCAGCAGCGTGAGAAGACGGACAGAGGCACATGGCGCAGAGTGTGGCGATGGAAGGCGTTAGCACCAACTGGGTCAAGGCCATACAGCACCCTTACTCACAAAATGGAAAACCCACCAAACAGTTGTAAGGAGACCTCGAAAGTGGGCACATGGCGCAGGGTCAGGGTCGGCTGTGGTGAGGCAGCAGTATTCGGAAGACATTACACAGGACTAGGTTAAGAAGCGGAGTCGAAGCCGTCAGCAGCGTGAGCAGACGGACAGTGGCACATGGCGCAGGGGCTGGCCGGTGGATGCTAGCAGTATTCGGGATAGCCAAATCACATGGGCCTCGGTTTAAAAAGCCGGGCAAGCCGTCAGGCAGCGTGAGCAGACGACAGGCACATGAGCGGCAGCGGTGGCTGGTGGAGGCACGCAGCCAATGGGAGGCCAATACGACCTTATGACAAAATGGCACCACCAGCAGTGTGAGGAGACTGTAAAAGTGGCCACATGGCAGAGTATGTGGCGAGGTGGAGACAGCAGCATTGGGAGGCCGTAGTACAGGGACCCAAGACACACACTCTTGGACCGTGGCAGCAGCATGAGGAGGCGGGTAATTATGGTACAGGGGCCATGTCAGATACGGGGCCTGCAGCAGATGAGGAGTGGGTAGGGGGGCCCCATGGAGATTAGGCCCCTGGCAGCACCCCTGAGGAGGCGTACGGGGCCCATGGCAGAGTGGCGGAGCGTAAGCAGCTAAAATTTGAAGGCCAAAAAGGGGGGCCTTATTTTAAAAAAGTCCCCCAGCACAGGTGGGGAGAGTTCAATGTTTTTAATGTTTGTCAACGATTTGCGTTAAGTGATGCAAAACCCCCCTGAACCACGTTCATGAGGGGCCGGGGGACAGGGGGCATGAATCGTTGGACCGGCAGAGCGTGGCAGTCGACAGAGGCACTTTGGCGCAGGGTGGCGGTGTGCGCATTTTCTGAAACCAACAGGCCAGGGGAAAAAGCGGAAGCCGTCAGCAGCGTGAGCAGACGAAAGACACATGGGCAGGGTGGGGTGGTACAGCAGTATTCGGAAGCCAAAAAAGGGCCCCGGTTAAAAAACGGAAGCCGTCAGCAGAGAGCAGACGACAGAGGCACATGGCGCGGGTGGCGGTGGAGGGGGGCAGCGCAATGGAAGGCCCTCGCACCCTATCACAAAATGGAACCCACCAAAAGTGAAGGAGACCCGAAAGTGGCCATGGCAGAGTCTGGCAATGAAGTAGAGCAAAGGGAGGCCGTACAGGGTCATGACCCCACTCTGGATGGGCAGCAAGGGAGGCGGTCAGGGGCCCCAATGGGGAGGTGGCGAAGCGTAAGCAGCTTAAATTGAAGGCCCAGAGGCCTATGTTAAAAAATAATAACTTTTTTGGGGTTGATTCACGGCGGATTTTGTCAGTTGTGCAGGAAATGGTGGGTTTTAAATCCGACTAATCCCCGCTGATTCATTTTCCAAAAAATGAGTCTCTCCCACTTGGGTGGGCAGTCATGTCCTCCGCGGAGTTACAAAAACCTCCTGCCGCACTAAACACGCGTCGATGCCATGCTAGGCGGGGATGCAGCCTTTCAAGGGGAAATTCAGCTGTTTGGGGGGAAAGGTCAAGTTTCGGGATT